GATATTTAGAACATGTTTAGAACACCTCTTTATAGTATAGATAATGGATGACTTTATACTATGAAGTTGATTTTCAATATATGTATGTTAACTGGTTTTGTATTTACCTAGTGGTCCTTTTCACTATAGGATGTAGGGATAGATTCGGTCCGTCCCAGGCGACGGTTTGGTGTTGACATCGGGCTTGGAGTGTGTTTCCTCTGGCTATTTAGCATAGGGACGGGGAGCCGGCATGGGGCCTGAAGTGTATTTTCCTCTAACTATCTGCTCAGAGACAGGGAGCCGGCATGAGGCTTGGAGAGTTGTATCAGACATTCACTAATGTTTATTATATTTACAAGTTATGATTTGAGACATTGCACGACATGCTAGGTTTCGGAAAACCTATGTTTATCATTATATATATGTGTTTTCATAAAATCTTGGGGTTAATACGTTGATAACTGTTTTATTATATATATATATATATATATATATCAACTTGGTCCACTCATGTTTGTTTTGCGTCCCCTTCAGGACTTAGAATCGAGGCATACAATCCTGACGTCCAGGCACTTCCGCATCGGCATCTTCGAGTTCTCGTGGTGTAGGACCCACTCCTTTATTTCATTCAATTTTATATTATTTTCTCTTAGTCTTCTAGATTAGAGGTGTGCTTTGAACACGGTCCTTATTTGCATATCAATTATTCTTTTATATTTATAAGCCTTATTTATCCATTGTTGTCAGCATTTGCACTCAATAAATGGCTTTTGTCACCCTCGGGTGTCGGCCAGCACGTGCCTATCCTGGTATTCGGGGAATATCGAGGTCGGGGCGTGTCAAAAAAAAAAAAAAAGCAAAATTTTGGTTGTGTGAAATTACATCATTTATCAATTTTGTATAAATAAGTGTCTATTTATAGCATATAACATCTACAAACATTGATTATAAAACATACTAGCATATGGGCACACACAAAGTGTGTGTAAAAAAATTCATTTTTGTTTTTGGAGTAGAAGGAGAGAGGAAGAGAGTGAGAGAGAATATGGGAGTGGGAGATAGCTCTTTTTTTGTTTTTGTTTTTTTTTTTTTAAGTTTTTAATTTGAGATATATTAGAATCACATGTAGGTGAGACTTTGAAAAAAAAAAGCAAAATTTTGGTTGTGTGAAATTACATTTTTGCCCATATTTCTAATTTATGTTCAGTTTTAATTAGAGAGTTAAACTAATAATTTAATAGGATTTTGGTTGATAATGTCTGTTTTGTTAATATGTAGTTTAGATAACATATAAAAATATTGAAATTTTTATTTATTACTTTGTTGAATTTGATGGTAAGTGATAAAAATTCAAATGACTACGAATTCGTAATATTTTACAAAAGATATTTTGAAGCTAGTATAAATTTAGAGTAATTTTAAGAGAAATAATGTTGTGTGGCTTAAAAAATATTGGAAAAGTGATCAAATTAATTGGACAATAATTAAAAAACAAAACAAATCGTATGATAAATCAACACATTAAATAGCAAGTTAGGTGGCGCATAATTATTGGCCAATGGCTAAAAAAATAAAACAAATTGGGGTAATTTTGAAAGGGCACTGGGTGGGATGGGAGAGAGAGAAAGTCTCTCTTCTTCCTCCCTCTTCTTCTTCATTAGAACCAGAACTCCATTTCTAGAAGCTACAAAATGCAGATCTTCATTCCTCATTTCATTGGCCAGGCCTGGTATTTTTCTTTAAGAAAAAAAAAAAAAAAAAAGAGCATGCATGCAGCCTACGCTACCCTAGAGTCGGGAAATCCAAAAGGCCAGAAAACCAGAAATTTCATCACTTTCGACGAGACTAAAGGGATGAACCACCGCTGCTAGGCTTGATTCTGGCTAAGGGAAGGGCCCCTCCCTACTCTTCTGTAGCTTCGCCCATGACTAGAGGGGTGAACCACAACTCCTGGGCTTGATTTCCGGCGAAGGGAAGGGCGGCCGCGCCTCCCAGCTCTTTGTAGCTTCGCCCATGGCTGGCCCTTGAAGATTAATTTTTTGTTTGTTTTTCTCTCTGCCGACTAGGATTTGGTGGAGATCTATTTCAAAATCTTGAAGTCGTTATGTTACAACCATTGACGCAACATTTCATAAGCTTAATGATTTGTTTGGTACACATGATTAGATTGAATTGAAATGGATAACCAACTAAATTATTAAAGATAAATTATAAAATTATGACACCTAGGGAATAGGAGATGAATTACTCACAGAAATCCTCTTTGAATAAGTGGTAGGGTAGCAGTGAATTTCTTTCATAGATAATCTGTTAATATTTGATTAGAAGTATTTTGTATTTTGATTAGAGAGCATTTGAAGTGAAGAACAACAAGGAAAATTGAAAACATATAGGATTTCAGTGCAGTAGCAAAACGTTGCTGCTAGCTGCTCTATTCATTCATTCATTCATCTATTCGAGTTACAACCCTAAAACCTTATCTGCAATGCTTAAAACAATCAGCAATTAATATCCAACTGTACTAACACGTCACAGCATTTGGTATCTATCTGTCAGCCTGTCTGTCCGATTGTCTGAGCTTGCCAACCTGCCTGCCTGTCTGATTGCCCAGAGGAGCTGCCTTATATCCTAGCGGAGCTTGCCTTCTTGCTTGTCCGTCTAGTGGAGTCTACAACTACATCTGATTGTTGGCAAATTCATGTTGTTTACCGCCATCAGTTTAACAGGAGTGATGGAAAATATTAGTATATTATGTATGTTTTATTATTTGGATAGTTTTGGTATTTTATGTATTAGAGTTTCTTATTAGGTTTTGATTTCTATAAATAGGGTGCTTCGTAATTGAGTTAGAACAAATCATTCGTAATGTAATCCTTCAGTTTGTAGCTGTCATAACGATATTTTTTTTTTAGTTAGTAACATTATATTTGTTTATAATTAGTTTGTTTGTTCGCTCATTATGCGTGCTCAAATTTAATTTTCAAACTAATCGAAAGCTAAGACGGTATCTCCTCGATCCAAGCAACGAAATTTCAGCATTAGCTCCTTAATATCAGCCACTGGAACGCCATCCCTAGTTAACGAGAGATTTTTCAGTGTGATTGGTACACGAGGTGATACACCACGTATCACTATACAAGTGGTGAGATTTGTCTATTAAAAAGTTAATAACTTAAAAAATAAAATTTCTAACCATTTACATAAAAACAAGTGATGTACCATCTATATTTCCATTACAATGAAAAGTTTCTCCTTGTTAACAATCCTTCTGTGTAGTAATCAGCCACAGTACCTCTTTCGCAGTATTTCAACGCACATCTCTAAAACCCACCTCAAGAGCAAAATAGAAAAACTCAATGCAAAATCAATCATTTTATTAAAAATCGATTTATTTATTTATTACTTGTTTTCTTTCTTTGATAGAAAACAAAAACGAAAACTGTTCGTGGTTTGATAAGGAAAAAAAACTGTTCATTGTTAGCTTAATTTATTGGTTATATAAAGCCATTGACATGCTGAATAATTAATATCTAACGAACACCTCAAATATTATTCATACAACTAAATGTAAAACTGTATCGAAGAGAGGAGCGAGGACGATCAAAACAAGAAAACCCGGGAAATGGCAGTCCAAACAAACCCTAATGGCTCATTAGTAGAAAGGAAATGACAACGTACGTAACAGGAAAAACATTTCCAACGTCCCAAAACAGCCGAACGAATCTACGCCATTCGTACATTACAACAAAGCAACGTTATCGAGATTTTGTTTTCCTTTGGAGCCTTCCCTTCCCTCCATTCGGACCATTCCTATAGTTTTGTAGGCCTATATATATACACACCTTCTCTCGTACAGCATGCATAAGTATATTACTGTCTCTCTCTGAGATTGGGGACTTAATTAATCTCTCCTCGGAGACCTTAACCTTCTGGTTTCTTAGTCCCTTCAATAAGGGTTACGGATTGGGGATGTAAATTGCCGTGAAAAAGAGGAAGAGGAAGGGGAGACTGAAAGCCTGGCTAACTGGGAAAGATCGCAAAGAGTAGAAAAGTACATAATACTTTTTTTTTTTTTCTTTGGTCTGCGAAAAGTATATACACACACATAATGACGCACGTGGTACATAATGTTAGTGGTGGGGAACGCTTTGATTTATACTTTGACACAAAAGATAGAATAATGGTGTGCTATAACAGAACGATAAACCCAGGTGGTGGGATATGGCGAGCACTACCCAGCGATTCCTTCATGTCACCTCTTGGCGTCCTTATTATAAAACTCAGCATTGCCGTCTTCAACACTCGTATTCTTACCTTCGTCTTCAAACCCTTGCACCAACCAAGCATTGTTTCTCAGATTATTGTGAGTTACTACATTTTATTATTATTATTATACCAAATGTTCAACTTGAAACTAGTATTGGATGGTTGATTATGTTTATACTAGCTTCTTGCCACATGTGTGAGCATCTGATAATATGCTCTTTCACATTTTATTTATTTATTTTTATTCATTTAAAATATGTATTTATATGTATTTATTTTAAAAACTTCAGAAAGAAACATAAAAAACAGCCAACTATGTAGGTAGTTTTGAAATTCTTAAATTCAAAATAATGTTATTTTACTATTTTACTCCTATAAATTAAATTGTTTATTTTGAAAGTGCTAATTAGGATGGTGCATATTTTGGTATGAATGATTCACGAAATCTTGCTCTTCCTTTATATATAAACATGATTAGACGTAACGTGCGAACACAGAGATAATATAAATGAGCTGAGCCAGTGCTCAACACAAAACGGACAATAGTTTTTACACGAAAAACCTATCCAACATATGGCGTTTTTGCCAATTAAATAGTAATTTTCATCTATATTTGATTTTGTTCTTTGTTCGTTAGCAGCAGATGCATAACTAATATGAATTTTCAGGCTGGAATGACAACGAGTACGAGGGCTTTGGGTCAACTGACGAAACCTATATTCCCGTTTAGTACCTTGAAGATTTCTGAGACCATGGGAAACTTGGCCCTCGTTTACTATATGTTTCTAGTGGGTTTAGAGCTTGATTTTAAGCCAGTAGTACGTGCTGGGAAGAAGGCTCTCAGCATTGCGCTCACTGGCTTTTTCTTTTCCGTCCTAGTTGGTTGGGCCTTGTGTCGTTATTTACTCCTCCAAGATTTTGTTGCACAAACACATGATGGAGATCAGGAACGTCCCACTATAAACGGCCCATTGTTCTGGGGCGTTGCTCTCGCCACTACCAACTTCCCAGACCTTGCCCGAATCCTCGCGGACCTCAAACTTCTTTACTCTGATGTTGGAGGACTTGCGTTATCCGCCTCTGTTATCACCGACTTGTGCTCCTGGATTCTTCTTTTGCTCGTAATGGCCATAATCAACAGCGTCCAGATGTATGCAGTGGGCTTGACCTCGGTTTTTATTGGACTGTGCGTTTTTGTAGTACGTCCTGCTCTGTCATGGATTGTTCACCGAGTACGCGAAAGAGAAAAAGAGGATAGGAACAACAGTCAGCTTATACGCTTTGTTTTAGCTGGAGTGTTGCTCTCTGGGGTCATTACCGATGCCTGTGGATCCCATTCCATTGTAGGGCCTTTTGTGTTAGGAGCCATTATGCCTAAGGGCGAGTTTACAGACATGCTTAAACAGAAGGTGGGAAATTTTGTGCCTTCGATTCTGATGCCTCTTTACTTCTGTATCAATGGAGGAAGAGTCAACTTTGAGGATATTCTCGGTGACAGAAAAAATCCAATAGAGCAAAAAACTGGGGCTACCGTCGGTCGCGTAGTGTGGGTTACCATCATTGCTTTCGCAACTAAAACTGTGAGCACTTTCGTTGCCGGCATAATCAACAAAATGTCACCCCGGGATAGTTTGGCTCTTGGAGTGCTCATGAACACCAAAGGCTTATTGACACTCATTATACTCAATAGTGGCCGGGACATAAAGGTAATTTACTGATTCACCTTTCACCCTTCAATTTGTTTTCCTAAGTAACAGTTTTCACTTAGATGAGATTGTTTTGTAGTATAGCACGACGCATGGTTTAAGTAAAGTTTTGAATAATTTATGAACGAATGACAATTTGCATGTGGTATACATCTACATATATATCTAGGCATTGAACAAACAAACGTTCGGAGTACTGATGGTGGTGATTTGGGTAATGACATTTGCGGTTGGCCCGTTTATAGCCTACTTTTACAAGTCCAGTGCCAAGACTTTCGTGCAGTACAAACAGAGGAGTGTAGCAAGCGTAGGACCTAACAACCAGTTTCGAGTCCTTGTATGCGCTCACACCTCACGCAATGTGCCAGGCATTATCAACCTCCTTGAGGCTTCTAATCCAACAACACAATCCCCTCTTCATGTTCTTGCTGTCCACCTTGTGGAACTAACTGGACACGCTTCGGCCATGCTGGTAGTGCACGATGCTTGCAAGACCAAAGATGTAAACTTTCCTGACAAATCTTCGTCTCCGACAAATGCCATTGAGTTATATGTCAAACAAAGGCAAAGTGTCACAGTGCAATCACTCACGGCAGTGTCTGCTTATTCGACGATGCATGAGGACATATGTAACCTGGCTGAGGACAATCGTGTCTCCATTATAATTATCCCGTACCATAAGAAAGCTACAATATTGGATGGAGAAGGAGGGGCAAGAGATGAAGACAAATCGCATTTAAAGAACCTCAACAACAACTTGATGGAAAATGCGCGGTGCTCCGTGGGTGTTCTTTTGGATCGGGGCATCGGTACATCCAACTACTTTGACTGCTGCCGCCACTTTACCATGCTCTTCTTTGGAGGGGCAGATGACCGCGAGGCATTAGCGTATGCGGGGAGGATGGCTGGACATCCAAGGGTTACCCTAACTGTTATAACGTTTAACATTATGAATAAAGAGGCAGAAAAAACGTGTGTCGATGATGATGACGACGGTGATGAGTATAATAATGAGGACGACAATGACAATGAGAACGACGATGACGACGATGATGTTACTCTTGAGGGAATGAAAAGTACTGGAGAAGAGAAAAAAATGGATGACTTGTACTTGGATGAGTTTAGGTTGAGGTCAATGAATGATGCCTCCATAAAATTTGTAGAGAATTGGGTGACCAGTTGGGAACAAATTCTCTCATTAATACAATCCACGGAGGGTGAATATGATATGTTCATAGTGGGTAGAAGACATGGAGAAATGCAAGAGGTCGCCACAACGTTACTGGATGACGATGACTCTAACGACATTGGAGTTCTTGGAGAGGCATTGGTATCTTCAAACTTCACAGCTAGTACATCCATTCTAATTGTGCAAAAAAGTGAATTTGCTCATGATTCATGATTTGAGGGAGCGAATGGGATTATATCTTGGGAGCTGTTGGAGTACAAAAACCAACCATACTACGGCATAATTCCCTAGCTGGCTATCTTTTCCTTCTCTTTCCCTTGACATTTTTTTTCTTTCCTTCCTCAAATACCCAAAAATTACAGATCTGTTTGTTATTTGGGTTGTGATACCAACTGAGATTACATAATAAATTTGATTAAAAAATTAACAAAAAACTGTGAATAATGGATACAAAAATAAACAGACCCTACCACATATATAAGTACGACTGAATGTAGCTTCTCCATTTCTTGTTTCACAAAGTCGAAAACAGATTTAGAGAGGAGAAAGTGATCTGACCACAAAATTATAAAGAGAGAGAGGGGTAAATGCAATTGAGTGAGCAAAAATTGTTTGATGAGCAATATAAGCAAAACTAACTCTAAAGGGTTATGGGTATAGACAATTACTGGCGGAGCCATGAAGGGACCATATTGGTCCCATGCCTATTTACTTTTTTCTCGAGTTCAAAAAATTAGTATTACGTATGCCTTTGAATTTTTTCATGGGCTCAGAGCTCCAATGGTTCAGGAGGCTGGCGGTCATGGGAGCTTTGAGGAGCATAGTGATAGAGAGGAAGAGGTTAAGAGACATGAGTTTGTTTTTTATCCTTATTTTATTCCTTGAAGTTAATTTGCTATACGATTTTACACAAGAGTAATACTAGGTGGACTAAATTTATAGACTAAATTTGCAAACTAAATGATGGGTCACCAATAAGAAATAATGTTAATCAATGTTTAAATAATAAATCAATTATCAACTTTCATGTCATTTCATTTACAAAATTTAATCTACAAATTTAGTCTCTCTACCATTACACAAGTGCATGCTTTGAGGAGAACTTTTTCTTTTCTTCTTATGCCTCACCTAGAACAATTTAAGAAAATAATTCTCACAAACATTTTTTTCTTCTTCTACATATCGATGTATTTATGTCTGTTAATTCACTTTTGATTCATTTAATTTAACAATTCACACTTGCTTCAAATCCCAAACTTTATTCATAACTGAAATACAACTTGGCTATATGAGCCCAATCTCGGGCATAGTTATGAAACAGCACAGAACTACAAAGAAAGTAAAGATACAACATCACTGATCAGACCAAAATCTTATTACATTCATGTCAAATCTAACTACAAGGCTCAAACGAATTGAACTTCTTCATTGGTGATGCGTGTCTTATGCAAGGCCCCTTCCGTCTTGGAAGAGGTTGCCTGAGTGTGCTGCTGAAGTTGTGTCCTGAAAGCCAATTTTGTAATATTGGATATTATGTAACAACTTCATATTAATTAATAAATAAATGAGCAAGATTTATTCATCCGCCAGTTGGGCTTATAGAGATAGTATACTATCAATGAGCCTATAGGATTGAAGGTGTGAAATTAATGTCCTAACTGAGGTTAGGGTAGAAAGGCTTGTATTCCATAGTAACTTAGTCCTTAAATAAAGTTCTAGCTATTTGGAAAGTCCATTGGACATTGACTATCCTGAAAGGCTGGTGTATTCGCATTAAGGTTAGCATGGTCTTGTGTTATGCCTGTTGGACACGTAATGAATGTATAGGTGCTTGTCTGTTGAACAAGTTCACAGTTCACTGCACACTGACCACACAAGAAGTTTAAACGTATGGATGCTTACCACATGTCATAGCTTCTGGTTGTAGTAGTGCAAATAGTTCTTAAACTTGAGGCATCATAGGTATCTTATGCTTATAGATATGAACTTTGGTTTAACTCAAAGTTGTCACTACTTCGCATGGCTCGATTGTGTGATACTCAGGTTCATATGTATGAGTATGAAGATACATGAATCCGTAATAAAAAATCTCTCACCTTCTGATAATTGTTCAATAGAAGAACTTATGCCTCGAAGCCTCTTAAAGATCTATCTCATAAATCTTCGGCCGAAGTACTTGTTGATCAAGCTATTTTTGTATCAATTGCTTCAACATAAGATGCATCATGGCGCCATAGATTACTACTTGTGATTTGACATAAATCTAATATCATATAATAAATCTTGTTTGGGACATGGGTGATAGAAGAACTGAATTGCATTGTAACTACAATAAAGGTTCCAATGAATATCATGATTAGTTCATGTAATTAATTTCATTGCCGTATAATATGCAATTCCAACGACTTTGATTTCCACACTAAGACACATGTTTTGTACTAAGTCCAATCCGATACCAATGACCTCGGTGGAGTCCTCTAGTATTATCTTGCTCTTCATGAATTGAATCTTGATAGATTTTTAATGCTTTACTTACTTATTCAGTCAATTTACATTTTAATTCCTCGTTCACTGGAGACACATAAAAGAACTTAATCGAACCAACTTCTCACTTGTTAAACAATCATTTGGTTAAGAAGTCAGATTGTAGGGCAACTTTTACACACACATGCACACATACATATACAATCAAATACAAGCATTGTATGTTGGCGGCCTCCAACAATGGCACACTTATTCTCTCTTTCTTTCGAGCCATCCCGTGACAGAATACATATTGAACCAAATCTAGGCTTTGTCAGAGTTTTGACACCTACACCACGCGCTTCTTATATTAACTATGACAGTTCACATTAAATGCTAGGCCTCACTGTCTATGCCATGCCTTACCTTGCTTCCCCATCTTCCTACCTAGGCTTATAGTGCAAGGCAATTAGTACGTCCGGGTTAGACGTTAGGTTTGTAATGGTCTTTTGGTTGTTCACAATTAATATAGAATGAAAATCAATCAATTATAAAAATTAAAAAAAAATCTATTTACCATTTTTTAGTTTAACGGTGAGGATCAGAGATCATGAAGTACCAAAAAGTGAATGCTTTTGTTATCTTAGATCTATCTTGCAAAAGAATCTTAGATCTATCTTGCAAAAGAACGAAAAATTGGATGGAGATATTAACATAGAATACAAGCTCAATGGATGAAGTGCAAAAATGTATCGGGTGTGTAGTGCCACCATCCTATGTCACTAAATCTCAGGGAAAAAATTTATAAGATGGCAATAAGGTTAGCAATGTTTTACTGTACGTAATGCAAAGATGGGAATATTTCGTTGGATGTGTGGGCACACAGGAAAATACATGATTAAGAACGAGGATATCCAAGGTAAAGCAGGAGTGACCGTAATCCAAGATAAGATGTGAGAAAATAGGTTAAAGTGGTTTGAACTTGTGAAACGAAGACTTATAGATGCTTCGATTAGAAAAGGTGGTTATGAAATAAAGGCTCAAGGAAAAAAGGGTAGAGAAAGATATAGGAAAACTTGGAAATAGACTTTAAGAAAAGACATGCAATAGTTAGAGCTAACAGAACGCTTGGGGCAAAACTGAGCGCAGTGATATTTTAAGATTCATACAACCTAATTTAATAGGATAAGATTTTTTTATTGTTTATTATTGTACTTACCTTTTTTCGGTTGGATGCTTTTTTATTTTGTTTTTTTAGTTAATTAAAACATAGAAAAATATATCGAACTGTTTATGGTTAGTTCGGTTACTCGGGTATATGAAGCCGTTGTACTGAATAAGACCAACGAACACCTCGTTACTAATTATAGTTAAATGAAAAGAAAAAAAAAGAAAAAAAAAGAAAGAAAGAAAACTGTATAGAAGAGAGGAGCCAGGATGACCAATGATGTTTAACTAGACTAGAAACGATCCAATAAAAATTAACTATACTAGAAACGACTACAAACTACAAAATAACCGAACAATTTTACGCCGTATATTACACCAAAAGTTTTGTTTTCTTTGGGAGCCTTCCCTTTCCTCGATCCCTGCCATTGCGACTTGCAAGAAAGTTTGTATTGTGTACACACACACACACACACACACACACACACACACATATATATATATATATATATCACCGTTTCTCTCTGAGATGGGGTTTCTCCTTAGGTAAAGACCAGAAGGATTAGAGAAGTATATTATACATAATGTCTTATTTTAAGTTGACTGGGAGTGTTGGTGGGGAAGATTTTGTAATATCCAGTAACACAAAAGATTTAATTGTGGTATGCTTCAATAAAACGATATCCCCAACAGGACTATGGCGAGCACACAACCCCTTTATGTCAGCTCTTTCAGTTCTTGTTATAAGACTGAGCATCGCCGTCTTCAGCACTCGTATTTTTATGGTCGCCTTAAAACCCTTGCATCAACCACGCATTATTGCTGAGATTCTTGTAAGCAGTACATCCTTCCTTATTCCTCTCTTGTTAATTTTTTCTTACATCTGTTGTTATTATTAACGAAAACATGTAAGTAGTATATACACCATTTTACACGTTACAAATTTTCAGGGTGGAATGTCGACGAGTACGAGTAATTGGGGTAGAGTTGTACCAGCCGTATTTCCTTACAGTACCCTGAAGATTATCGAGACCATTGGAAACTTGGCCCTCGTTTACCACATGTTCCTGGTGGGTTTAGAGCTTGATTTAAAACCAGTGTTACGAGCTGGAAAGAAAGCTCTTAGCATTGCGCTCGCCGGCATTGTCTTTTCCGTCCTTGTTGGTTGGGCCTTAGGTCGATATGTACTCCTCAAAGATTTTGTCGAAGAAACAAAAGGCAAAGATGGACAAAAACTTCCCACTGTGAACGGCCCGTGGTTCTGGGGCGTTGCTCTTGCCTACCACCAACTTCCCAGACCTTGCCCGAATCCTCACAGACCTCAAACTTCTCTACTCTGCTGTCGGAGGACTTGCTTTATCTGCCTCTGTTATCTCAGACTTATGCTCCTGGTTTCTTCTTTTGCTCGTAATGGCCATAGTCAACAACTTCCAGACAATTTCGGTGGGACTCACCTTGCTTTTTATAGGACTATGCATTTTTGTCGTACACCCTCTTCTGTCACGGATTGTTAACCGAATTCGTGACAGAGTACAAGAGGATGGCGACTACGGTCAACTTGAATGCTTTGTTCTAGCTGGGGTGATACTTTGTGGGTACATTACCGATGCATGTGGGTCTCATTCTATCGTAGGGTCTTTTATGTTTGGAGCTATCATGCCTAGAGGAGAGTTTTCAAACAATCTCAAAAAGAAAGTGGGAAGTTTTGTGCCTGGGATTCTGTTGCCTCTCTACTTCTGTATCAATGGGAGTAGACTCAACTATGTGGATATTCTCAGTTCCGTTTATCCGTCAGAGAAAAAAACTGGGACGGACATATATCGTGTAGGGGGGGTTGTCATCTTAGCTTTTGCAGCTAAGACACTAAGCACTTTGATTGCCGGCTTAGTAAACAAAATGTCATTTCGGGATAGTTTGGCTCTTGGAGTGCTCATGAACACCAAAGGCTTATTGACACTTATTATCCTCAACACCGGTCGGGAAGTAAAGGTACGTAATATATGACTTTATGCATGCGTAATGCCTTTGAATAATTCATGAAAGAATGACAAATAATATGTCGTGTATATATATGTGTATGTCTAGGCGTTGAACAAACAAACCTTCGGAGTAATGGTGCTGGCAATTTGGGTAATGACATTTGTAGTTGGTCCGCTTCTAGCAATTTTTTATAAATCCAGTGCTAGACCTTTCGTGCAATACAAAGAGAGAAACGTAGTAAGCGTGGGATCTAACAGCGAGCTTCGAATCCTTGCATGTGCTCACAACTCACGCAATGTGCCAGGCATTATCAACCTCCTCGAGGCTTCTAATCCAACCAATAAATCCCCTCTTCATGTTCTTGCTGTCCACCTTGTCGAACTAACGGGGCATACTTCGGCGATGTTGGTAGTGCACGATGCTTGTAAGACCAATGATGTACATTCTCCCGACAACTCGTCCCCCTCAAATGCCTTTGAAGCATATGCCCAACAGAGAGAATGTGTCACGATGCAAACACTCACGGCGGTGTCTCAATACTCCACGATGCACCAGGACATATGCAACCTGGCTGAGGAGAATCGCGTCGCCATAATAATCATCCCGTTCCACGATAAATCCACCACATTGGTTGGAGGAGTGGCACCAGATGCAAACAACTCACATCTAAAGAGCCTCAACAACAACTTGATCGCAAATGCTCGGTGCTCTGTGGGTGTTTTTGTGGATCGAGGCCTCGGTGCATCCAACTACTCTTACCGTCGATGCTGCTATTCCATGCTCTTCTTTGGAGGGGTAGATGACCGTGAGGCATTAGCGTATGCGGGTCGCATGGCTGGACATCCTAGGACTAGCCTAACAGTCATATCGTTTAACATCATGAGTAAAAATGCAGCAAACTTGTACTCTGAGGATGATCATGGTGACGACGACGACGACGACGATGAAGATGGTACTGGTGGAATTCTGAAGGCCATGGCAAGCACTGGGAGGGAAAAAAAACTGGATGAGTTGTACTTGGATGAGTTTAGGCTGATGTCAATGAATGATGCCTCCATAAAACTTTTAGAGAAGTCGGTGACTAGGTGGGAACAAATTCTCTCACTAATAAGCTCAATGGAAGGTGAGTATGATATGTACATAGTAGGAAGAAGGCATGGAAAAATATCAGAGGTCACCACGACGTTACTCGATGGCATCGACTTCAATGACCTTGGATTTCTTGGAGATGCATTGGTATCTTCAAACTTTATAGCCAGTACATCCGTTCTAGTTGTGCAACAAGGTCGCCTTTTGGATTATTATTCTTGATTGAGAGAGAAAATGGGATGTATTGGAATAATTTATGTTGGAGAATTAGGAAATAAAAACTTATTGAGATTGGTAAATGTGGGATTGCATTTTATTTCCTACCTACAAAATAATGTGTAGGTTTCCTTGTTGAAGGAATTAGGTTTACTCATTTAATTTGGTTACATATTCGATTAGGCTTGTATTTTCTTTTCTATAAATACTTTCTTGTGCGGAATAATAAAGATGTATTTGAATTGCATGGACAATGTGGTATTGTTATTGCTTTTGGTATGATTTTTTTTATTGTAATTTAAGAATAATTAACTGTAAAGTAAAATAATTAAGCTTTTGATAAATTGTATTTTAAGGTATTTATGTATTGTCATCCTTGAATACGCACAGACATTTAAACTTTAAATTCTAAATTTAACATGTAAAATGCTTGTAAAACATTAAATTTAGTGCTCACATAAAAAAAATTTATTTTCATCTTCCTCGCATCAAAAGCTGTCGTCATCGAAGCACAGTACATGGAGAGCTGGGCCCACAACACAATTCATCCTAGTTGTCACAAATATTTCACCACTGATGTCTTCGGACCTGGTGCCAATTGAAAATTCAAGAATAAATATTAATTTGCCTAGAGGGGGATCGAATAGGCATTAACTTAAATGACTAAGCCAAATTTAAACGAACAATTAATTAAACATGGTTAAAATCCTACACATCAATAACAAACAGAAAATAAAGTGTTCACCGTATCAGGTAGATTTAACAAATCAAAAGCCCATCATTAGGAAAAATACGTGTACTATTAAGTCAAAATATAAGTTAAGAGAAACGAACATAAAAAGGACTTACAAAATTATCTTCCTAGACTCTGAGCTAGAAGGAGGTTTAGAGGACCTTAATGGTAATATGAAACATATTACGAACTGTAGCCACAAAGTCTTGAAGTGATCAAATACGTCTGATTAGGTATATTCACGAATATCTGAAAAAATCATCAGTAAATAAAATATAAAAGCAAAACCGCTAAAGAAAGTAACAGGTGACGTCCACATACCCTGATGAATTAGGGAAAATAAGGCAGAAGCATGATTATTATTATTCGAACTAGCCTCTTGCCACGTATGGGAGTTTTTATTACTTATTATTTAATTCATTATTTTTTAATTAAAATTTTGGGTTTTAATGAGGCTTAAGAAAACAAAAATTTTGATGAAAAACATTTAATTGTCGTAATATTACAATATTATAGTATGTGTGTGATTGTGTAAATTACTAATATATTGTATTTAAAATACTAGAATGTCTTATTCTTTTATGATTATATTATTTGCAAAGCAAGGAATACAATAAATAAACACATCAGGCATGAGGAATATCACACACACAATTCCTCAAGCCCTTCTCCATCCCTCTATGTCACACCTTCTCAATCCCTTCAATAAAATAGGTTACAATACGTTTTTAGTATACCACAAACCCATTTACAAGATTCATCTTTGCAACAACCCATGTTCTTAAACAAGGCCTAAATGTCAATATTTTTTTTCAACTTAATGGCATGAAACATTCACTTTTGAGCATGAAGTCTAATTTTTATTTTAAAATTATATATTCTGTTTAAATTATTGTTCGCAATTATATTATATTTTTATTTTTGTCAAATCCTAATTATATTATATTACTGTTGTTATAATTGTAATGAACTAGATCTGTGTGATAAAAAAAAAAAAAAAAAAAAAAAAAAAGAGAGAGAGAGATTTTTTAACCCTTGAATCGCGTGAGCTGCGACTTGAAGTTGCGCCAAGTCGAGCCGCCCCACGCTAACCCAATGTCAATGTGCTCCATGAGCTGAGCCACCAAACCCCTGACACCATTCGATCGAAATGACGTCATTCGCGTCGTCCCTAACCTTCGATCCTCACAGCCTTACCGACATCCGGTGATGCCTGTGATCTCCTTCGATGAACTGAAATCGTCGTCCGTCTTCCAGGGGAGGTTTCCATGATGGAAACAAGAGATTCCAGATGAATCTCGAAAGGTTTTAAACTTCGAACACCGACCCGCAGTCGTGAACCCACGATTGGAAGTTTGGAGATTTTTTCATCGTTGTATGTTGTGATTGCAGACCTCAGACGATTAATTCGTCGTCTACTTCGAAGTTCTCCTTGTCAAGTTTGACGACTTTAATGCATTTCCCCAAAAAATTGCATTGGATTTTGGATGATATCATCGCGATCCGAATTCGTCGGAGTTTGAGCATCTCGAGGATGCTTTCGCAGCCATCCCTCGCGTAGATATCTTTTCATTATAGATAAGCGAGAGATTAAATTTGCAAACAAAATTTATAAAATAAATAACGTAAAAGTTGATGATTAGGTTATTACTTGAGCGTTGATAAATGTCTTTATTTTCTATTGGTGACATATATTTTGATTTGCAAATTTTATCTATAAATTTAGGCTCTCTAGCATTACCTTTTCGTTTTCATAATTTCTAGATATTGAAATGGATCCCTTTGTGTTTTGGGATAGGTAGACCGAACAACCAATCAAACATTTACACGCTGGTAATGTGATCAGTTCCCAACCGAAGATTTTCAAAACAAAAGAAAAGAACGGAATGAATGTCATTTAAATTTCTCTTCAAATAGTTGAAGGCATCTCACTTTATTTTTCATCTCCATTTACTAACAACTTAAATAGTATGAGAAATGAATCTCACAGATGAGCTGAGAAACTATCTTCCTTGGAGTCTCAAAGTAAAAGCCTGCAAGGAAAGAAGAACTGTCTTTAATTTCTCCTTGGTCTGTGCATCAATTAAGTTGCTGTTCTCATCGAACTTTGCAGGAGGCTGAAACGCATTCAGGAAGAACTCTGGCTTGTTGATGAAATGAAGGTCAAGGAAGACTCCGATTTGGCGAAGATGGTATTGGGATCGTGAACCGCCGGAGCCTCCTGAAGCGCTTATAATTGCAGCAGCCTTGTCAGCCCAAACATTTGGGGGTCTTGATGCCCAGTCAAGTGCATTCTTTAGTGGTGCTGTATTGTGCATATATGTGAGGGTAAATTGGTCATTAAACTACAAAAAATAAGATATAAATAAATTTAAAATAGTGTTACTATGTTCACAACGAGGGAACTTAGAAATCGATCACTGATCTAATTTGAGTATCTCTACAGGATAGACCTCAACAAAAAAAAAATTGAAGAGTGACGACAACAATTGATTGAGTTTGGTAGTTCCTCATATAAAATTATTGACTCTAGAGATATAGTAATATGGCCAAATTTTTTTATCAAAACTTTACCATACAAATCTTTGTATCAACTTACGTGTTAATATACATGTCAGTCGTTACTTATTCGTGACATCAAAATTTAATTGAAACCAAATTTCTATGAGTTACACAGTGTCACGATATTGTACAAATAAATGTGGTGTCCCTCTGTATTAGCATTCTAAAAATTCATGTATAATTTATATTTTTCCTCCACATATAGAAAAACTTAAGAAATAAATATGTACCTGAGACGGAGTAATTGTTTTCAGGTGAGGCAAAGAGAATGCTGTCAGCTTCTCGGATCTTCCGACGAAATGCCTCGACGACAGGTGGAAAAGTTCCCTCTCCTTCCAGATCTGTGTTCAGCAGTGGCAGCTTCGATATGTCCACGTTCTCTATTTCCACGCCGCTCATTGACGACTTGCTTATCTCAATCGCTGCAATCGGCAACACATGATCCAAGCTCAGTAATTTTCAGTCCCAAAAAAATTAAATAAAAAAATGAAAATGAAAACCAATAGAACGGCGCCAGATGGCAACTAACCAGAACGAATGAGGCCGCGGTTGTAGGAACCTTCACGGACGGACCCACAGATAGCCACCACTTTTATCAACGGTTTGGTCGCTGCAACTGCCGCCGCCTCCATTTTTGCTTTTTGTTGTAAGTTTAACAGTTCCGTACACAGCAACAGAAACAGAAATATTTATAGGGTTTGGAAGTGAGCGTCAGTTTAAGTAAGAGGCTGCAAGAAATTGTGGGGTCTGGATTGGACGGTAGAGCTTGGTCTTGGGGGGACCAATGACTTTGAGGTGGAGACATGGGTTTTTGACCGTTGGATGTATGGAATGTGTGTGTACAGTGTTTTAGTTTACGTATGCAGTGACGTGGGTCGTATCTGTGCAATGCGGTAGCAGGTCAAAACAATTACGGAAAGACATTTTACTTTTCAAAGGGACGCTATTTGTAATCACAATACAATACAATTACGGAAAGACCTTTTAATTTTCAAAGGGCTGCTATTTGTAGGGCTGGAAAAAAATCCCAAAAATCCCAAACCAAACCGAAAAAGTCCCGATCCCAAACCGAAAAAATACCGATCCCAAACCAAAAAAATCCCAAACCAAAATTCCCGAAATTTTCGGTACGGGATTCGGTATTGCATCTCCATTTTTTCGGTATTCCCATACCGAACCAAAATAAATATTATATATATTATTTTTTAATTATAAGAGAATTATTTCAACCGTTCATTGTTTTAGATTTAATCTGTGCTGTTCATTTGTTTTTAGGTCAGATCCCCCATTTCAATTTTCACTTCCGTTCCATCAAGAGCTTGAAGCGCAGCCACTGTGCCACCAGCCTTCCTTCACCAGAATCACCATCGAGTTTGGCTTATAACTATTATTTTTGCTTTTGAGTTTGTTACTTTATTTATTTTAAAACCTTGGCTTGTAACTATTATTTTTGCTTTTGAGTTTGGTACCGAATTTATTTTTATTGCATGCATGATGCATGTGTAGTGGGCAGATTGAAACTTTGTGCACAAATGGGCAGTGGGTAGATTGAAACTTAATTTATGAAACTATGTCAAATTTGTGCAGTGGGCAGTGGGCAAATTAGTAGAAATAACAAATTGGCAGTTTGGGCCCAAAAGCATAATATGTCAAATTTTAGCCCAAAAGCATAATATGTCAAATTTTAGTCCAAAAGCCCAAAAGCATTTCG